CTGGCATGAAACGCCAGGGCAACAAAATATATGCCATGAGTTTTGCAATACAGTAAAAAAACGTAACTAACCTACCATTCTTTTTAAGAGAAAAATAATAATATTCTAAACATGAGATAACAATATAATTATACACAGAATTTACAACCATTAGAATAATTTCAGTAATTTTTATAAATTAGGTGACACTCGAAATCTCACCAAAGAGATTTAACTTACCAACCACTAAGCATGGCAACGGTTAATTTGAAACCCTCCCTTGGTCAAATATTTAAGTGTTACCAACCGTAACTACCAGGGATGCCCACGTCCGGAGTTATATACCCAAGTAGTGGCATCCGTGGTCTGCCCCAAGGAAACGGTCTGGCAGGGGTAAGTAACCTCCCTGTGTGCCACCTGCACATCCACCCTTATTCCAAAACCGAATACCAAAAAGGGTTCAAATAAGTCCCGTGCCATTTTAGAGTTTCGCAACACAATTTACGTGAGAATTCTCAAAACCATGGCTCACCCTGAACAACCGGTGTTAACTGTCAATCCTTAATTCCGTATAGTCTTTAAACCAAGACTCACCCCGAACAACTGGTATTAACCGTCAATTGTTAACTTTGTATATGCCGTTAATCATTTCAGTTAATTTTGATATTAATCACAAATAATTCCAAATTTTTAATCACAAGTAATGTTATACCAACTCATTAAAATTTCCAATCATAAAATATTGCATGTGTCACACAATACTAAATAAAAGTACAGAATTTAAATAAACAATTTATTTAAACCATGGTATGAAATAATAACTTAGATACAAGAATTAAACCATAAATACACACATGCACAAATTTTTGATTTACAAAATTAGAGTAGCATAATATTAAAGTGGTGATTTTATCCTATCTAAAAAAATTTTCAGAGTATATATCTTGCAAATAAAATTATAAATACATTACTTATACAACTCTAAAATTCATATCAATCTACAGGATACTCAATAAACATGTTATGGTTATTTTTCAGAAAGCATTTTCCAAAAATAACTTATAAATAATTCTAAACAAATTCCAAAGGTGTTTATGACACAGATTTGTCACATTTCCTTACATTAATTCCATGCTTAAATTTATAGATCAAACCCATAATCTAAAAATTTATCATGAAACTAGACTTCTCAAATTTCATATTTTAGTTAGAAATTACCAGATTTGGCTTAGTATAGAATTTTAAATAAATTTTCAAATACATGGTAAAATATGTCTCACAGTTTCAGATTTAGTTAGAAATTTGTATAAATTCGTAGAAAGCTCAACAATTGTTACTGAAATTCCTTGACGAACTAGACATTATTATTAACAACTTTGTAGAAGAAACCATCTCTAAATTTTGAGTATAAAATTGTCTAAAAATTCGAGTGACATTCTGGCAGATTCAAAATAGACTATTTTCATCACAGTTTCAGATTTAGTTAAAATTTTGTATAAATTCGTAGAAAGCTCAAAAATTGTTACCAAAATTCCTGGACGAACTAGACATCATTATCAACAACTTTGTAGAAGAAATCATCTCGAAATTTTGAGTATAAAATTATCTAAAAATTCGGGTAACATGCTGGCAGATTCAAAACAGATTATCCTCAACACAGTTTAGACAATGTATCATATGTATACAATCTGAAAATTTCAATTATGTAAAAAAAATGAGAGGATTGAGAGGGTCTTCTTACCTAGTAGTAGGATTGAAATGGGTGATGAAATGATAGAAGAATTTGCTTCCTAAACCTTTTTCTCTTCTTCTCCTTCTGCTGAATTCTTCTTCCCTATTTCTTCCTCACCCGTCAAAAGGAATACATGCATGCAAACACTGAAACCTACCCTTCTATGCATGAGTATTACGTGCATTATATAGACCTCCGAGGCTAGCTCTCTCTCTCTCTCTCTCTCTCTTTCTCTCTCTCTCTCTGCCATTACCTTTCTCCAAGTTCTAAGAACAAGCTTTCCCTAAATTTTATGGTTTCCTAATTTCTAAGAGATGGTGGGTTTGGTAGGAACTGTGGGTTGTTTGCCCACGGTTTGTCTGTTTGTATATATATATATTTTTTTATTTTATTTATTTATTTATTTATTTATTTTTTCTAACAATAATTATTAAACATCCACAACATTTTTATTCTTAATAGGGTCTTTGTTAGCGATAGAATTGGGTTAATTTAAAAAAATAATAATTTAATTAATTAATTTATTTTCTTTCAAGAATAATTTAAATATGGGTTTTCACAATCTACCCTTCTAAAAAGAATTTCGTCTTCGAAATTAATTCGTACCTTTAGACTCGAAAAGTCGAGGGTAATTGACACGTATCATATCTTCTCGCTCCCACGTTGACTCTTCCGTCCCACGATGTCTGCAGAGAACTCGAACCAATGGTATAGTATTGCCTCATAATTTCTTCTCGCGACGATCTAAAATCTTGACAGGCTTTTCTTCAAATGTCACGTCTTCATCAAGATTAATTTCCTCCCAATTGATGATGTGAGAAGGGTGTGGCTCGTATTTTCGTAGCATAGAGACGTGGAAAACATTATGTACTCCAGCTAGTTGAGGCGGTAGAGCCAAACGGTACGCCACTTCTCCTATTTTGTCCAAAATTTCGAAAGGCCCTATGAAGTGAGGTGACAACTTTCCCTTCTTTCCGAAATGAACAACTCCTCGGCAAGGCTGTATTTTCAGAAACACATGATCTCCAACTTTAAATGCTAAAGGTCTTCTCCTTTGATCTGCATAGCTTTTTCTGCCTACTCTGAGCGGTCTCAAGCCTTTGCCTAATTAGTTTCACCTTCTTGGTAGTTTCTTGAACTAACTCTGGCCCTAAAAGAGGTGCTTCTCCGACTTCTGTCCAACATATTGGTGATCGGCAAGGCCGTCCATACAAAGCTTCATACGGTGCCATACCAATACTTGTTTGAAAACTGTTATTGTAAGAGAATTCGACTAGTGGTAAATATTTCTCCCAACTACCTTTAAAGTCCATCACACAAGCTCGAAGCATGTCTTCTAAAGTCTGAATTGTTCTTTCTGATTGACCGTCAGTTTGAGGGTGAAAAACTGTACTAAAACACAACTCTGTACCCAAGGCCTTTTGCAGACTTTGCCAGAACTGTGACATAAAACGAGAATCACGATCTGACACTATTGAGACTGGTGCTCCATGCAATCTAATGATTTCTCGAATAAATAATCGGCTTAAAGATTCGAGTGTGCCTGCTGGTCAGGAAATGTGCCGTCTTAGTTAATTGATCAACCACCACCCAAATGGCATCATGGCCTTGCGGCGACGGGGGTAATCCCGTTACAAAATCCATTGTTATGTGTTCCCATTTCCACTTAGGTATTGGTAAAGGTTGGAGTTTCCCTGTCGGTCTTTGATGTTCTGCCTTCACTTGCTGACACGTCAAACACTTAGATGCGAATTGAGCAACATCCTTCTTCATTCCACTCCACCAATACTGTCGCTTAAGATCCTGGTACATCTTATTTCCTCCCGGATGAACCGCAAAAATCGAATGGTGAAATTCTTTAAGTACTTCCTCTCTTAATTGTTCGATATTTGGCACAAAAATTCTACCTAAATGCCTTAAACTACCATCTTGATGGAGTGTCCAAATTCGGTGAAGATTCCTCGGTCACTAATCGGGCCTTGATGAAGTCGGTCTCCTGATCAAACCTTTGGGCTTCCAACACTTTGGTAAGAAGTTGGGGTGTTGTAACTATTGTAAACAACCTACCCTTCCCATTCTGAGTCTCTGGTTGTAACTTAAACTCATTCACAGTGCTTACCATTTCCCATTCTTTAATTGATATGTTGGCTACAATCTCTCTTGTCTTTCGACTTAGTGCATCTGCTACAACATTAGCCTTCCCGGGATGATAAGATATGGTGAATTGGTAATCTTCAAGGTACTCCATCCAGCGTCTCTGCCTCATGTTCAATCTCTTTGTGTGAACAAGTACTTCAAGCTTTTGTGATCGGTAAATATCTCAAATTTTTTTCCATAAAGGTAATGTCGCCAGGTCTTAAGTGCATAGACCACAGCTGCCAACTCCAGATCGTGAGTAGTATAATTTTTCTTATGATTCTTCAATTGTCTTGATCCATAAGTTACTACCTTCCCGTTTTGCATTAACACACTACCTAACCCTTCTTTAGAGGCATCACAGTAAACAGTGTACCCAACGTCGCGTTCGGGTATGATTAATATTGGAGCGCTTGTCAGTCTCTTCTTGAGTTCTTGAAATGACTGTTCACACGCTTCGTTCCATTCAAACTTTACTCCTTTTTGCGTTAGGCGTGTCATCGGCTTTGCTAATTTGGAGAAATCCTGAATGAATCTCCTATAATAACCTGCTAATCCCAAGAAACTACGAATCTCAAACGTATTCTTAGGTTGTTTCCACCCCATTACTGCTTCTACTTTAGCAGGATCCACTGATATCCCTGATTCAGATACAACATGACCTAAGAACTTTACTTTCTTTAGCCAAAATTCACATTTGCTAGCTTTAGCATACAATTGGTTTTCTCTTAGAATTTGCAAAATGGTCCTCAGATGTTGCTCGTGGTCTTCCTCCGATCGTGAGTATATCAAAATATCGTCAATGAATACTACCACAAATTGGTCCAAATAGGGGGTAAAGATTTTGTTCATTAAACTCATGAATACCCCAGGAGCATTTGTCAAACCAAATGGCATTACCACAAACTCATAGTGGCCATAACGGGTTCGAAACGCAGTTTTGGGTATATCTTCTCCTCTGACACGAAGTTGGTGATATCCCGACCTAAGGTCAATTTTGGAAAAACATTTTGAACCTCTTAATTGATCGAACAAGTCATCAATTCTAAGTAAAGGATATCGATTTTTTAATGTTGGCTAGATTTAGTTGTCGATAATCGATGCACAATCTTAAGGTTCCATCATTCTTCTTCGCGAATAATGCTGGCGCTCCCTAAGGAGACGTACTTGGTCTGATGAGCTTTTTATCCAACAGTTCTTGCAACTGCTCCTTCAATTCTCGAAGTTCAGCTGGCGCCATACGATGTGGTGCTATTAAAATCGACGAAGCCCCAGGTTGAAGCTCAATCGTGAAATCTACGTCTCGTTTTGGGGGTAATCTCGGCAATTCATCAGGGAAAACGTCAACGTACTCGCACACCACATGGGGTAATCCTGGATCCTCTCGATTTTCGTCTTCCAAAATTAGGCTCGCCAACCATCCGGTTAGTTGATCATGCCATCGCGACTTGCGATACGTTGGAGTTAGAGAATCTTGTCTATCCCCTTTAAATTGAACTTTCGTGCCGTTAAGGGAGGATGCTGTCACTGTCTTACAATAACAATCAATAATGGCTCGATGAACTGGCAACCAGTCCATTCCTAGGATAACGTCAAAATCAGACACACCCATAACTCTTAGATCACAGATCAAATGTGAACCGGAGATTTCTAACTCACAAGATTTACATACTAGATTTACTCGGGTTTGACCTCCTAAGGGTGAAGTGACACTCATAGCTATCTCTAACGCTTCTAGTTCTAAACCCAAACTTGTCGCACATGCAGTGGATATAAAAGAATACGAAGCTCCAGAATCAAACAATACTTTAACCCAAGAATTCATAAGGATTAACATACCTTGAATTACTGATGGGTTATCAACATCTTCTTCTTCTTGGAGAGCATACATTCTCCATACTGCCTGTTGGTTAGTCTCTCCTGGTTTCTTTCCATTTTCAGCTCCTTGTGGTTGTGTTCTTGGTCGGCCTGCATTCTTAGAGGCTTGTGGCTGCCCCTTGTTGGTCTGAGTAGTTTGAGTAGGCTTAGAACCTTGCCCAGGTTGGCATCTGTTGTATTGTTGTGCCCCTCGCTGATCCATAAAATACTCCCCACCTTGAGGACACTCACTTCGACGATGCCCCTGTTGACCACATCTGAAACATCTTCCTTTCCACTCATTTACAAAGTTTCCTCATTGCTGGTTTCCTCGATTCTGCCTTTGTTGCTGTTGCATTCCTCCGGCACAGGGTGCTGGCGCAGGATGGTTTCTGGTGTTGCGGACTGGGCCTCCTCCGCGTGGTTGGTTGTTGTTCCTTGATCGCTGATTTCAAATGCGTTCGGAATCTGCTAACTCTCGTTCCACAATTAAAGCTCGATCCACCATCTGGGCATAGGTCACCCTATATGGGAATATCATTTTCAGGTGCAGGTAGCATGCCACCTCCAAGGACATAGCTGGGAGGCTAGAGGCAGGCATACTTTTGTTTCTTAACTTTTGATGTATTACATGTAACTTCAACCCAGGGGCTTAATGTGTAAACGAGTTAGTACTCTTTTGTTGTAACCAAGTGTTAACTTGGAAAGCTGTAAGCCCGTAGGGCATTTTGTTTTGATGTTAACATGTAATACTTATGTAATGGAACTCTAAGGAATAAAGAAATGTGGTTAGTTTATATGTCAATGCATGTCTTATTTGATGGGTTTAATGTTATTATTTTGAGGGCGTTACACTTTTGATCATTTCCCACCAATGATCTGCTTCCCCTTCCATTTGAAATGCCGCCATGGTCACTCTATCTTGTTCATTTCGGACGTCGGAAGTATCTAGCAACTTCTTAATTTGTCTTAACCAAGCTTCAGCTTCATGGGGGTTTGATCCACCAAGGAATTTGTAGGGACGTAGCTTTTCAAATTTTGCTATCATCTCCGATTTGTTTTGATCTTGGTTTCGGGGTGGTATATTGCCTACCCTATCAGCAATCGCGCGTATAATTCGAACAATATCGCCATCAGGCACTCCATCACCATTACCGTTGTTATTATTTCTTGTTCGTCCTGCCATTCTCATGATGGGATTTTCTTGTGATTTATTCATTTATTTATTATCATTATTATTATTATTATATTTATGTGCAAGGATAGTTAAAAAAAAGACTTCATTAATTAGATTAGATAAGCTACAATTAGCAAAATACAAATAAAACAAAGGAAAAGATTAAATAACATACTACGGGCAAGAGATAGCCCCTACAATCTGAGTTAACTCCTACACTCACAATTCTAAACTAGGCAATTTTTTATTTTTTTTTACATGTGAGCATACAAAACAATCAGTTAGCCTAGTTTATAGTTCCCTTAAGACCCCTTAAAATAGCCAAGGAAAGTCTCTCCACACCAGGGCTTCCAGCTCCCATGTGGCTTGGAAAAGTCCCATGAATCGCCACAGCACCCTTACGAAGATAGCAGTTTCGCACACACGATGCCCTAGCAGCAGCACTGGCTCCTCCCGATAAGTCCTCCAGTCCATGAAGTTCACTGACCCATCTCTCCTCACAATTCTGCTTGGGTCGGGCATGATACACTGAAGGCTCCAAAAGTCAAAAAGGTCGCCTACCCTATCAGTGAAACCATCCGGGAAAGGGCCTAATTGATATACCCAGAGAGTCTTTTGTCCTAGAATCTGGACAGGTCCGATATAGGTACCCACCCAACTCTCAGCTTTCCAAGCACAACCTCCTAGGGGATAAAGTCTGACATATACAAAAGAGCCAATCTGCAACCTATTTCGCACATCCCAACCCTCAAACGTGGCTTTTATATCTCCAGTGTTCTCCTCGGTATTGCCTTCCATAGACTCATCTTCAGTGTTTGAATCAATCACAATAACCTCCGGGGCGTTGTATATTGGTACAACTTCTTCAACTTCATCAGACTCAGACTCAGACTCAAGTCCAGGATCAGGTTCAGGGTCAAGCTCAAGCTCAAATTCATAGTCTTCTATAGGCATCTCCACTTCTTCACTTGGGTCAGATTCTATGGATTCATAGTCTTCTATAGGCATCTCCACTTCTTCACTTGGGTCAGATTCTATGTCATAGTTTTCCACCGAATTTTCCTCGTTAGAGTTAATGTCTGATGACCCTGGCATCCTACAAATAAAAAGGTTCTAACTTAGTCAAGTCACCGAGAATTACAAATTAACTTAAGGTTTTCTTAATTGTAAAAATAATAAACTACTACCCATGGCCCAAAGGTTCAAACCTAGGCTCTGATACCAAACTATGACGCACCAAATTTTTTTTTGAAACGCCATAAGATTTAAATAACGTAATTGCCCTAGATAAAGTTTTAAACTACTAATAGGAACTTTTAAGTTCTTACATAGTCAAATCCAACGCAAATAAAAACTACAAGTTCACACACAACGTCACAATACATAGTTAAATCCTAATACAAGGGATAACGGGATTTTATTTTGATAAAATCATTTGACTCTATGTCAGCCAAGGTTCGATCATTGCAGCAGCTCCAATTTTCAGCCTTCAGTCCCTTCTTCGACAATAATTTGCATGAAACAGCAGGGCAACAAAATATATGCCATGAGTTTTCAACATAGTAAGAAAACGTAACCAACCTACCATTCTTTTAAGAGAAAAATAATAATGATTAAAACATGAGATAAACAATATAATTATAACACAGAATTTAACAACCCATTAGAATAATTTCCAAGTAATTTTTATAAAAATTAGGTGACACCCGAATCTCACAAAGAGAACTTTAACTTACCAACCACTAAGCATGGCAACGTTAATTTGAAACCCTCCCCTTGGTCAAATATTAAGTGTTACCAACCGTAAACTACCAGGGATGCCCACGTCCGGAGTTATATACCCAAGTAGTGGCATCTGTGGTTTTGCTCCAAGGACACGGTCCTGCCAGGGGTAAGTAAACCTCCCTGTGTGCCACCTGCACAGTTCCACCTATTCCAAAACCGAATACCGAAAGGGTTCAAATAAGTCCCGTGCCATCTTGAGTTTTCGCAACACAATTTACGTGAAGAATTCTCAAAACCAGGCTACCCTGAAAACAAACCGGTGTTAAAACTGTCAATCTTAATTATCCGTATAGTCTTCTAAACCAAGACATCAACCCCGAACAACGCGTATTAACCGTCAATTTTAACTTGTATATGACCGTTAATCATTCAGTATAATTTTGATATTAATCACAAATAATTCCAAATTTTAATCACAAGTAATGTTATACCAACTCATTAAAATTTCCAATCATAAATATTTGCAAATGTGTCACACGAATACAAATAAAAGTACAGAATTTAAATAAATAATTTATTATAAAACATGGTATGAAATAATAACTTAGATACAAGAATTAAAACCATAAATACACACATGCACAAATTTTGATTTTACCAAAATTATACTAGCATAATATTAAAGTGGTTGATTTTATCCTGTCTAAGAAAAATTTTCAAGAGTATATATCTTGCAAATAAAATTAATAAATACATTACTATACAACCTCTAAAATTCATATCAACTACAGGTACTCCAATAACATGTTATGGTTATTTTTCAGAAAGTATTTTCCAAAAATAACTTATAAATAATTCTAAACAAATTCCAGGGGTGTTTATGACACAGATTTGTCACATTTCCTTACATTAATTCCATGCTTAAATTTATAGATCAAACCCATAATCTAAAAATTTATCATGAAACTAGACTTCTCAAATTTCATATTTTAGTTAGAAATTACCAGATTTGGCTTAGTATAGAATTTTAAATAAATTTTCAAATACATGGTAAAATCTGTCTCACAGTTTCAGATTTAGTTAGAAATTTGTATAAATTCGTAGAAAGCTCGAAAATTGTTTCCAAAAATTTCTGGATAAACTAGACATCATTATCAACGACTTTGTAGAAGAAATCATCTCGAAATTTTGAGTATAAAATTATCTAAAAATTCGGGTAACATGCTGGCAGATTCAAAACAGATTATCCTCAACACAGTTTAGACAATGTATCATATGTATACAATCTGAAAATTTCAATTATGTAAAAAAAATGAGAGGATTGAGAGGGTCTTCTTACCTAGTAGTAGGATTGAAATGGGTGATGAAATGATAGAAGAATTTGTTTCCTAAACCTTCTTCTCTTCTTCTCCTTCTGCTGAATTCTTCTTCCCTATTTCTTCCTCACCCGTCAAAAGGAATACATGCATGCAAACACTGAAACCTACCCTTCTATGCATGACTATTATGTGCATTATATAGACCTCCGAGGCTAGCTCGCTCTCTCTCTCTCTCTCTCTCTCTTACTTTCTCTCTCTCTCTCTGCCATTACCTTTCTCCAAGTTCTAAGAATAAGCTTTCCCTAAATTTTATGGTTTCCTAATTTCTAAGAGATGGTGGGTTTGGTAGGAACTGTGGGTTGTTTGCCCACGGTTTGTCTGTTTATATATATATATATATATATTTTATTTATTTATTTATTTATTATTATTTTTTTAACAATAATTATTGAACATCTACAACATTTTTATTTTTAATAGGGTCTTTGTTAGCGATAAAATTGGGTTAATTTAAAAAAACTAATAATTTAATTAATTTATTTATTTTCTTTCAAGAATAATTTAAATATGGGTTTTCACATAAATCCCTATCAATTTCATCCACACAAGAGGCCAAAACTATGGGGAGAGTTTCTGTCATATTTCTGTGTGCAACGGTAGGTTCAAGTGACAAATATTCTAACTCCATATCAGTTGTTGGATCACTAGAGAGATGTGTTGTGGCTTCATTAAGTTCAATCTGCAACTCTTTTTCAAAAATCTCATAGCATGCACTCTTATGAAAGTCTTGAACGAGTTGGTCAAAAGAAATCCACACCTCAATTGGTAACATCTCAAAATTTTCAATTAACCACATTGTGTCTACAAATTGACTTGTTTGAGAGTTCAACCCAATGTAAAAGATAGTAATGAGTTGAGTCATTTTGTAGTCATGTTGTGGACAAGCATCTACATAGCTCTTGTATCGTTCCTAACAATGACAAAATAATTCATCCGCTTCCCGAGTAAAATTTAATATTTTTCTTTTGAGAAAAGTGAGGTCGGATGGAGGTTGTGATTCTTTCCATTTAAAAAAAGCCAACATATTTATCCAATTCAGGGGGGCAAAAACAGCACTCGTGCATACACCACTCTCTCTCTCACACACACAATATATTTGTTCACCGTCCATTTTTTTTATATAAAATTAATTTGATTACATAATTATCGATATCCGATCAACATAATTTTTTATAAACATATAATACTTGATAAGTCATATACATTAAATAATTTAAATTATCAAAACAAAATTTATAATAAATTTCTACAAGTCAAACCGTACGACGTATTCCGATTAAGAACGAGAGGCAAGCTCATTTTCATTTTTAAATCCCTTTCCATACCCAGCCAGACCAAACCCAGCGTAAAGATATTCTAGCTCCGTTTGACAAGAGTTAAACGGGATTTTTTTGACTATTTTAGCCACAAAAGATAAAATAGGTTCACAAAAATTAAAATATTACATCTAACCCATAATCATTACATAATTCTCTCACAAAAAAAATAAAAAAAATCAAAAAGTTAAAAAGTTAAAAAATTCTTCCCAAACCAAATTTTTTAATTCAGAATAAAATAACTAAAAAAATCAAAAAGCTAAAAAGCTAGCCCACTTACGAAATGGAGGCTCTGAGAGGTAGGGGTGTTCGCGGATCGGTTTTGTGCGGTTTGCGGTTCGGTTAATAAAATAACTAAAAAAATTCAAAAAGTCAAAAAGCTGGAGGCTCTGAGAGGTCATCGTGTCGCTACACTAGACTACACTTGGTTCGACCTACCGGTGCTGCGAAAAATGGGATATGGCGGTGGAACAGCAGCAGGAAGGACACTTCTTCTTAGCCTTTCTCTCTCCTCCTCCTCATCGTCATCTTCAGTCTCAACCCGCTTCTCTTTCTCTCTCCTCTCCCCAGCCAAACGTTTCTCTCTCTTCAAACTCTCTTCCCCATCTCCCCCAAGGTTTATCCTAGGGTTTAGGCCTCTGTGCTCCATTCCCACCTCCACTGCCACCGTCACAACAGAGGAAGCATTAGAGCCCATAAAGCACTCAATCCTCCTCGAGAGGCTCAGAGTCAGACACCTCAAGGACTCCTCCTCAAAAACCCCAGCAACCAGACCTCCGCCACCGCCGTCGGCCTCTTCGGTGGATGGTGATGGGTCGAAGACGAAGAAAAAGAAGAAAAGTGGAGTCTTGGCGTCGAGTTTTGAGGAGCTGGGGTTGACTGAGGAGGTCATGGGGGCTTTGGTGGAATTGGGTATTTCGGTCCCTACTGAGATTCAGAGTATTGGGATACCTGCTGTGCTTGAAGGGAAGAGTGTGGTGTTGGGTTCTCATACCGGCTCTGGCAAGACTCTTGCCTACATGTTGCCTCTTGCTCAGGTAAATTTCACACCTTCATTGGTTTGTCTGAAATCTATCCATAACCCATTAGGAAAATTGAATTGAATTGTTTGGCCTTTTTTTTTTTTTTTGGTGGTGTTGTTGGATTTTGGCTATTATAATTTTATGTATGTTTAGAAGAGTACAAAAACATTACCGGCTGTGTTGACTCTGAAAGACTTTTGCTTGTGATTAATTAAAAAAGCTTCTAATTTGTTGATTTTTATAGTTGTTGAGACAAGATGAGGCATTGTATGGTATGCTAATGAAGCCCAGACGTCCTCGGGCTGTTGTGTTGTGCCCTACAAGAGAGCTATCCGAGCAGGTTTATCATATACTTTGTATGGATTTTTGCTTCACATGAATTACATAAAGGACTTCTTTTGCCAAATTAAAACCAAATTGTATATGCAGGTGTTCCGTGTGGCAAAGTCTATCAGCCATCATGCACGATTCAGGTCTACCATGGTAAGTGGTGGTACCCGTTTAAGACCTCAAGAGGATTCATTGAACACCCCTATTGACATGGTAGTGGGGACCCCTGGTCGGGTTCTGCAACATATTGAGGAGGGGAACATGGTTTATGGTGACATCAAATACTTGGTGGGCATCCTTCTGTCTTCTTCCTTTTTTGTCGGCACTTTTTCCTCTTCTTTTGACAATCTATAAGAAAAATGTGCAACTGCAGTAGCATGTTCACATGATAGTAACTATGGAGCACTTAATCATGATGTCAGTCTTTTATAGGTGTTGGATGAGGCAGATACCATGTTTGATCGTGGGTTTGGTCCTGAAATTCGCAAGTTTCTTGGACCCTTGAAAAATCGCGCATCAAAATCTGATGATAATGGATTTCAAACTGTTTTGGTCTCTGCAACAATGACAAAGGTACACTCAATTGCTAGATCATCTAAATACATTTATGAGATGCTGTTCCGTAGTGATGTGAAACCCATAGCATTTCTTCTCAGTGTGCTTTGTTTTGCATAGAATTTGAGATGCACCATTATTTTAATGGCATCTAAATGAGTTCAGTAGTTAGCGAGTCTGTTTAGGGATTTTAAAAATGTTTACATCTTTTATTTTCTTTTTTGTTCTCAATATTAAATAGTACTATCTGGTTTGAAACTAATTGGATTCTACAGAATTTTTTTGTTTGTTGAGATGCTGTTGAAGTTATGATTCAATTGTTTCGTATATCAATATTATGTGAAATTGCTAGGTAAGTGGTCCTTTAGCAACTTTAATAGTTAACATGATTTTCTTGTTCATAGTGAAATTAGGTTGTGCAATCATATATAAGTTACATATTTCTCTATCTCTGATTTTGTTACCAAGTGTTAATTTGAGAGTTTTCTGGGGAGGGCTAAATCGCTTATATTTTTCATGGTTCCCAGAAATCTTTGACTTTTCCCATTTTCCACTTAGCTCTGTAGGTCCACTTGCTTATTAAGAAGCACAAACCGTCAACTATCTCCTACCAAAATGTTGCGGTTTCCCCATGGTTAAGTCATCATCAAGTATTGCTTTTAGCCAAAATGTTGTGACGCGAAATGTTGTGACGCGAGTGACCAAGTCGAGTTAGAGGTGATTCTTAAAAGTGTTAAAGCCTTATCTGCTTATAGCTTCTTTCAGGGAGTCCTCTACTGTAAAGAATATCCTGAGGGCTTCACATTATATTTTACTAGCGGTCTGCGTGTGCAACTTGAAAAAAACTAATATTATAGAAATAATGACAAAGAAAAATCTATATGTAGAATGTGTTGCTCAAGTGGTAAGAGTGTTATTTATCAAATCCATGGTCTTGGATTCGAGCCCCATCCTCCTCTTTATATAATTTTACAAAAACACCAAATATAAGGGTATTTTGGAAAAATCCAAAATAGGACATTTTGTGTCAACACCATGAGAAGCCTTCACATATATAATAGTATAGATGTTTTACCGACTGATGGAGGGAAAACGATTATGCCAAAAACTTCTATAGAAAATTTCATTAGGGACTTTTATCTATCAAAAAAAAAAAATCATTAGGGACTTCAAATTATATGTATTTTAGATGCATTTGGTCTTTCTAAATGAGATGAGGCATACTTGGCCCCTCAACCATTGCCACTTTCTTTCAAGAGATATCGGCTAAACGAAAAGGGGATTTGTGCTTTCCTCAAGTGGCCAGCCCCACCTTAGAGTGCTGGTTGGGTCGAGGTGCTCCACTTAACCCCATCTTCGAGCTTCTATTATTCACTTCTTACGTGAAGCGTGACCACCTGCGCTCCATCTATTGGCTTGTACAAAGACCTAAGGAACCGAACCTCCTTGTAGAGGCTCGAGCTTTTGCTTTAATGATATAGTAACTTTAGATATTAATATGAACACAAGTCAAGGAAACTTGGCCAAGCTAGAAATCTTGTGCAGAATTTTCGTAGTAAAAATTGTCTACGTTACACGGACTCTGGTGCGGGTATTGGGTGCGGGTGCGTTTCTAAGGGTCAGGCGGGTATCGGGTGCAGGTGCGTTTCTAAGGGTCAGACACTTCAAAATTAAAAATTGAGGATACAGATCTAAATTTGGATACGGGTACAGGGATACGTTAAATAGTTATTTTTAAATATATTTATTATATAAAGATAAGTTAAAAAAAATTTAAGAAATAATAGATTTTGTTAAAAAAAATAACAAATAAAAATTATAAAAATTATTTTAAGTATAAATTAATAATATTATATATGATAAAATAAATTATTTTTATTTTAGGTATAAAAATTATATTATTTATGATATATTATATTATACAATAATATTTTATAATATGAATAATATTATACAATGATATTTTATAATATTATATATTATTATATTAATGTAATTTATATTATATAATATATAAAAAGAGAAAGAGGATAGAGAACAGAGAAGAGAAAGCGGACAGAGAGAAAAGAAGACAGTCGAGAGAGAGCGAGAGAGAGTAGAAGAAGAGGGAGATCAAGAGACGAGAGAGAAGACAGATTGGGAGAGAAAAGACAGAGAAGGAGATCGAGCATCGAGTGAAGAAGATCAATGTTGAAGTCGAAGCCGTCGAAGCCAATGACTAGAGGAATCGAAGTCGGCGACCAGATCGAACGGCGAATGGCAACCAAGTTCTCTCTTGCTCTCTCCTCTTTCATTTCTTTTGCCGTAGCCGTTTGTGAAGAGCCGTATCCTGGCTGTATCCCGCACCCGCACCCTGTGTCGTGTCGTGTCAACACGGGTATCTCCGAAAATCCAAAGAGTCCGTGTAATGTAGAAAATTGCTAACTTCTAATCTAATAACATATAGACATTTGTGAAAGGCTTAATGGTTAACAAGTAGTTTGAGTGCACAAGATGTGCTGTTGGATAAAAGGTATATCATATCTTAGCTTTACATAAGCAAGCCTTTAAACCATCCAGGTCTGCTGATGGAGATGTGAGAAACTCTGGGATGCATATTCCCCATGGAAACCCTTCTCATATTAGGATATTAGATAATTGCAGCCTCTTCTGTGGATGCAACCCTGTTCTGGAAACATATTATGGTGATCTGATTGCTGTTGGAGAGATGCTCGTGTGGGTGAGGAGAGGAAGGCTTGATGTTTATCCCTTTTAGCGATCAAGTGTTTAGTTTGGGGAGAATGGAATAGAAGAACTTTTGATGGTTCAGAAGAGCCAATTTTGAGAATGAAGAGTAAATTTTTGTCCATTTTGTACCCGTTGGTTTCAGGGGCGTTTAATCCATCTTTCAACTAATTTTTAGATTTTGTAAGGACTTTTGAATAAGTTTTTGATGTATAGTTATCTTAAATTTTCTTTTGCATACAGGTTGCATCTACTTGGTGCCTCTTTAAATATATTTTCTACATAAAATAAAATGTATTTTTGTGGTCAACATCTTTTAATGGTTATCATCTAGTGATTTGCTTCTATACAGGTTTTTTGGTCTTCATGGATGTTGGACAATTACTTATGTGATGTATTGCAGGCAGTACAAAAGCTGGTTGATGAAGAGTTTCAAGGAATTATACATCTGCGCACTTCAACATTGCATAAGAAGATTGCATCTGCTCGCCATGATTTTATCAAACTTTCAGGTTCTGAAAACAAGCTGGAGGCATTGCTACAGGTCTATTTCTGTTGATCTTTGTAATTATCCTATACTGATCACCAGTAATATAGCAGTGGCAATTTAGCATTGGTAGTATAGTGGCAATGACCTATCTTTTTACCCTGACCCAAAGAAAAAAGAAATGTTTTATACATAGCAACACAGATGTCATGTTGAGGGTGTGGAATTCTTATTTATTTACATAGCTATCATATTAACAATGGAATTCTTATGCTTTGACGCAAATTATTTGTATATTTACAAACTGTCTAAAGGAGTACTGTCTGATAATTTTTTCTATTGTGGATAGCTAAACTTGATTAACCTGTGGAAGGAAACAAAAAAAATCAGAAGTCTTTGTAAGGGATCTAAATCTCATGTTGGGAGTTGGAAGTAGTATCCCAAAACCTCGTGTTGCAAGGGCAAGGGGAATATATATTTTGAAGTATAATATTTTATACAATTGTTGAAGTGAAAGTTTGATTATTGAAAAAGCATATGCTCCTTTTGAATGGGCCGCAAGTTTTACTATGGATTCATGGTATTACATTCTATGATTCTATGTAATCTGTTGGCGTTGAGGCCCTTAACAGTTTCAAACTCTCATGACCCAAACATTACGTGAAGTTGACAATTCTTATTTTACCTATCATGTTTGGGGAATATTTGACAGAACGACGTTAGTATTAACCTTGGCAGTTGCAATATTAAACTTTATCTGCATAGCTGAACATTGAATCATGTTATAGAATTTGAGCTGGTGTAACTTTACAATTATTCTGATTAATAACTAAATTCACATTTGATAATGTCAATACAGGTCCTCGAGCCAAGTTTAGCAAAGGGAAATAGAGTGATGGTGTTTTGCAACACGTTGAATTCTAGTCGTGCTGTGGACCACTTTCTCAGTGAAAATCAAATCTCTACTGTTAATTACCACGGAGAGGTGCCAGCAGAACAAAGGTGAGGTGGACGAGGTATTATTTTCTGTTATAGCTTCATGTATATATATTTGCCAGTGTGTTTGCACCCGTTTGGTGCTTTGAGTGGATTGCCGCGACGTCTGGATGGCATCTATAAACCCCCAGATGTTTTTAGTTTCGACCCGCACAGCACACGAGAATATATACAAAACCCCCCATTCCCAAACCCACAGAAGGGAGAAGAAAAAAAATGAAAACCTAAAAATATCCTTTAAGAGGGGATGGGAAAAAGCATGCTTCCCAAATTTTTGGGGTAAATCTTGACTATAAGAACGAGAATAAGAAAGTGAATCTCAGCTGTTGAGATGCCAAACCCAAAATAGAGTTTTTGGCACCTTGCAAATAAAATGAAAAAAGAACAAAAAGAAAGGGCAACAGGTGGGTAGTTCTCCTTTTTCTCTTTGTTTTCCTGTCCCTTTTGAGTGATGCAAACAGCTGAAGGCCTGGGAAAGCTCTTTATCAGAGCTCAACTGCGTATGTATTAGTCTTTGGTAGCACAGTTTTCTTCTGCCTTTGAAGTGCCGTGTTTTCCTGACCTAGGGTTGAAAACCTCCAAAAGTTTAAGAGTAATGATGGAGATTGCCCCACGTTGGTGTGCACGGATTTGGCTGCTAGGGGACTGGACTTGGATGTGGATCACGTCATTATGTTTGATTTTCCCTTGACCTCTGTAAGCATCATCTATTACTGCTTTGTCATTATTCACTTTTATCTTGCTTGTTGATTTTCTTTTTCCAACATTTGAAAGTTATCCTTCCTTTCTTTTAACTTTTAGATTGACTACCTCCATCGGACTGGAAGAACTGCTCGCATGGGTGCTAAAGGTATTTTCCTGCATCATCTGATTGGTTTCATCAATAAAAGAATCTAGGAAAAGAAAAAAGGAGGAATATGTTTAATCCGTGGTCCAATTGGATGAAATATCGCATCTGAATCTTGTGGAAACCTTAATATATATGTCTAAACTTCTTACCTTGTATGCTTGCCCACTTCAGGATAAAATTTAAATTATTACTCATACTGTCACTCTAAAGGGAAGTATTTTGTCCTAAAAATCTGGTTATGTTTGGCTTTTAATCTCCATTTGAGCAGACCAAGTCACACTTTGCTTTGATTTTAGAGTTTGCGTTAAAATTTTTGTTTTAACAATATATTTATTACCACCATTGAGTTGCTAAATCAAGATACCTTTGTTTAACAGGTAAGGTGACAAGTTTAGTTGCCAAGAAGGACCAGACTCTGGCCGCTCGGATTGAGGATGCTATAATGAAAAACGAGAGCTTGGAATCCCTCACTGTAGATAACGTCAAGAGAGACATTGCCAGGTCCCGAATAACTGAGCAAAAGAATTTCAAATCAGCAAAAATTTCAAACCAGAACAAGTCTAAAGCTGCACCGGTGAAGTCATCGAGTGTTCCAAACCAGAAAAACAAGAGCAAAGCTACATCAATGAAATCATCAAGTGACCGTGGCAAGGTTTTATTTACCAAAAAGAGCTCGGGAACAAAACCTGGAAAAGGGTCAGCACCATCCAAGTATCCAAAGACAGCAATTAAAGTGTCCAAGTCATTTAAATCTTCGAGTGCAAGTACTTCAAAACGCTCTTTTCTTGGTGGGAAGAAAATAATGGACAGCAGGAAGTCTGGTGGTGTGAAATCCACAACTTCAAAACTAAATGTTGTAGGGTTCAGGGGGAGGAGTTCTTTGTCTGACAAGAAACAGCCCTTGAGAGTCAACTAATTGTAGCCACAATTTTGGATCGTGTGAATTAAAAGCTCATTACGATTTGCACTTGAGTGTATTGTTTTCCAAGTTACTGTGTGTTTGGTTTTAGTTTTTTGGATTAAATTTTCTGAAATTGAGTTTTTTATTTTTCGTATTTTTTTTTATTTTTAGTGTATTTTTAAAATTTTAAGCATTTTTTGAACTTTTTAGATGTATCTTACTTAGATGTATCTAAAAGTAAAAAATTTGTGAAAAAATGTTTTAAAAAATTAATAAATACGTAAAAATATGAAAAATATATTGAATTCTCGTATATTTTTTTGGTATTTTTGGTATTTAGTAAATTTTTAAAAGATTTTTTTCACAAAAATTATACTTTTTATGTTTATTTATGTTAGGTGTATCTAAAAATTAAAAAAATTGTCTAAAATATTAAAAAAATCAGTAAAAATAAAAATAACACAGAAAATAAGGAAGTAAATTTTTTTTTTAAAATGTTTTTGAAAAACAAAAAACAAGCTAAGTGTTGTTTTGGAACTCTGTGAGTATACTTCACTGCTACACATTTCCTTCACCAATGCTGTGCTGAATTCTATGAATGATCTCTTGATTGTTGAGTTGTTAGCCGGGAGGAGAGAGAAGAGCACATGAATTAAACAGTGCAAAGGCATACAAGAGAGGGGTCACTACTGCAACATAGCCTGCTTGAGGCATACATACTTGATAGCTGCCGGTGCATTAAAGAGATATGGGTGAGACATCATGAAATCCTTAGGAATCAAGTTCAACTGCATTGGAGTGAGTTTTTATTTAGTCTTCTTATGAACAAGGTAAATTGCCTAATTGGGGTTGTTGGGTATGGAGGATTTGTCAAGGTTTGGGTTGAGATTGACTCTTGGTACAAAACATCTACAATAGCTCAAGACCGTGAGGGGTTGGTGTGGTGGACGAGATGCTTGGGTTCGAGGCTTATGGCTGTGAGTGCAATTTTTTTTTTTTTTTTCACTATTCCCCTCCTACCACAAAAAATAAAAAAAAAAAATTCTAGTTCCATAGCTCCATGCTGGTGAATGGGCTCATTGTTGCATCATATAGGTCATGTTTACTCAAATTTTTTTTTTTGAAAACTATTTGTAATTGATTGCTAATATCATGAGTTAGGGTTAGGACTAGTAATTAGTTACTATGTAGTATAGGAGATGATATTATATATATGTTGTGGGTATAATGGTATTACGATGATATATATCATAAGATAAGAGAGTGATAAATGTTTGTAATTATTGGATGGAGTGATATGAGCAATTTAATGGCCATGAGATTAGTAATACTATTGTATTGGCCGTCTTACTATTTTTGTCAATTAGAAGTGGTAGTTGAATTTTTTATTTTATTTTTTTTATGATACATATTTCACCCATGATATTATCAATTGAATAATTCTAGGTATTCATCATTATCTATCTCAAATTTACCCCGAATGAAATTATATGATTGTGATTAAATTTGTGTAGTGTGAGGTCTGTGTGTAGAATGAATCTGAATCACAAGATGATAATTTTGAATAAATTCAAACTAAATAAGGATGAGTTTGTAATATTACTCTTATCAATTTCAATGCCCTCTCCAAACCATATGTCAAAGAGAAAAAATTTTATTTCCACACACCTACTTACCTCTATGTACACACTTAATGATTTATTTTTTATTACAGTTTTGTCCTAAAATAAAATTACTAAAGTGTCCTTATTTTCTCCAGCAAAACCCTAATTTCTTAACCTTAACCCTAGCTACCGTCCACCACTATTGCCGCTGCTATTACAGTTTTGGAAATATGAGTTCATTACAATCTCTTGATCTCAACAGTAACCAATTGAGTGGGAATTTTCCTAATACACTATCTAGCATTATTAATCAACAAACACTCTCTCTCTACACCAATAATTTCTCTGGTAGCATCTTTGGAGACTTTGGAAAGAACAGTCTCTTATTGTTGAATGTTAACTTTTCTAACAACGGCTTCTCCGGAGAACTACCACCGGGATTGTGCAATGGCCTTGCTCTCGAGGAATTGATAGTCAATGGCAACAATTTCACCAAGCCATTGCCGAAATGCTTGAAGAACTGCTCTTTATTAACTAGAGAATGGGTGTTGGTTTAGGGTTTCAATATTAAAGAGAGGAATATTTTTGGCAAAAAAGGTTGTGCATTGAGTAAGATTACAAAATTCAAAATTAGTTAAGGATGTGGTGTGAGATATTTTGATGTATGAAAATAGAATTACCCGTCAAAGAGGGTAGGGTCTCATAATAGAAAAATTATTGGTTGGTCCAAAGGTACTACGTGATCATACCTCTCACCAATCACAATTTATCATACTTCCTCATATTCTCAAATCACTCAATATAAATTCTTGAGTTTCACTCCCTCTACCCATTATAGTACTACTGAAACACCACGTAACAATACCTTAACGCTAATCAAAAACTTTTCGTCATAACCTTTTTTAGCAGGGGGAAACTAGACAAGTGGCCATTTTGAAGCCCAATTTGATAATTAATTGGCCCTATTTGGATCCAACTTGGTCCCCAAACCCATTGGGCACATCCCAAGCACCCCTGAGATTAAAGCCCACTCAATCAGCACTTCATTGGATTGCCCTTTCGGTTTGATTAGTACCCTACTCACTACCCCGAGCTTACAGAGGTTTTAGTACTAAGGAGAATTGCGCACTGCTCTCTTCCTGTTTGCTCTCAAAATGCTCCAACGTTCAGCGATGTTTCTCTGTAGATCGCTTTCCAGACACCCTTTTCATCGATCTTCAATACCCACTTCTTCTTTTACCTTCAAATCACTCACAGCTTTCTCAAACCAATGCGTTTCAGACTCATTTTCGTCTCAAAATTCCATGAAAATTCGTCATTTTCTTCGCCCAACAAGCTCAAACTCTGCAACCCAGTTGGGGATTTTCCAGATTACGAGGCAATACTGTGTTGATACGAGCAAAGTGGTCGACGAGATCAACCTTAAGTTCGCAGAGGCAAGGGAGGAGATAGAGACGGCCTTGGATTCCAAAGAAACTGTGTATTTCGATGAGGAAGCTTTGTGTGCTCGGGACGCGGTTAAAGAAGTTCTGGACATGTATGAGGGGTTGCTAGCAAAGTTGCCAGAGAAGGAAAAGGGTGCAATACAGAGGTCTATGGGGCTCAAGATTGAGCAATTGAAGGCTGAGCTTGAACAATTGAATGATTCGTAGTGAGGTTTGTTGATTCATCTGAGTTTTGTCATATCTTGATTCGAGTTCATTGATTTTTATGTTTGATGTTGTAAGTTTCGTGGTTGAGGATCGAATTTATTTGTTGTTTACAATAATGGTAATTTATGATTCTGCATTAGAGATGGTATTTAACAATGCTATTTGAAGATTTTGGTGTTGTTTTTATTGGAAATTTGTCTACTTTCTAATTTCAAATGTGTTGAATGGGATGGGCAGACTTGGTGAGGCTATCATTACTTCCAATGAATACATAAGCTTATAAAGCACATTGCTAAATACCTGGGGATACTGTGTGCTTGGGGTTTGTTACTGCAATACGAACCTCTCTTGATCAATGGTGACTTGTTTATTTGCTGTGTGTAATTTAATGGAGTTCAAGTTTCTTTCCAAGCCTTAAAATGTGGCATTAACCTATTTGGTGTTGCATCCGTGTGTGATTTTGGCATCGTTTTGCTGTGTGTTACTAATAAGACTAAATGAATTTGCGTCTTGAAGTTGACCAAGGTGGTTCAATATTGCAGCATTAATCTCATGCCTTTAGTGGAGGGAAATTATATGACCAATGAATTTGTTTAGAACAATATGGTCCCTTGGGCAATTATGTCTATTGCTTGCAAGATTTTATCAGTCCAGTTTTATCTGTTAAACAGATGACTTTGTGCTAGAACTTATTTGGATTCAACTCAACAAAATGTAAGATGCCAACTTATTAGGTAGTTAAATCATAAGCTGTCATGCCCTTTCCAACTGCCTCAAAGTCCATTTCGCTTTTCAACCTTACTCATCCTTATGGCATTTTCTACTTGTGATTATATAGCTCACCATTGTAGCATTCATTGGCCAAAGTTTCAAATTAGTACACAATTTGAGACAACTTTTCCTTCTTGCCCCCTGTTGGTTTGAGTCGTTTGATCTCTGCCTTCTCACCTTTCATTGGTTTTTATTTTTAGAACTTTTTCTTCCAGCTGTGTTGCCTTATCTGTACTTATAGTTTCTTGATATTGACTATACTTGATCCTACACTAAGAAGCAAGCACACTGACACGCAATACGACACTGACACGTTGACAAAGACAATTTTTTAAAAATATGCAGGACATAACACTTGAGGGACACACAACATAGCACCAATTTATACAAGTCTACATTGTTTTTTGTTTTATCGTTGTATCCTATCCTAAGTTATTTTTTCGAACCTATAAGTAGACTACATTAGATGAATGTTCGAGGAGTACTTCTCATTTGTCGCTTTCTAATTCTGTGAGCAACTCATTCAATCTCCCTTTTTGAATAATCAATATAGGACAGTAATGAGGAAATATAATACGGAAAAAATTTAATGTGTACTATATGGCTTTGCTTTTCTTTTTTTTTTCCTTTTAGGGAGAATATAAAAAAAGTGGAGCGTGAAAAAATAATTACAAAATGATGAAGGTACAAGTGATTTATGCATTCAATTATGCAAATAAATTTTGTACCTTCATTAGTTGAAAAAAAAAAATTCACTATCCACTTTTTTGAAATACTCCTTATATATATATAAAACCCGACCATGTTTCATTAGGTTTTAGATTTATATGGAACATGATATTTTACATACAACATATATATGTGTGTGCGCGCGCGCGCGCGCGCAGTATTTACCAACTATGCTTGGGAGAAACTTGAATGACACATTAGAGAATTTGCATGGAAGTCAGTCATGTTGTATAAACGATATGTATACAAAAATGGTGGTTAGACAACAACAAAGGACTTAATTTCATGGAGTAGAAAAGTTACTCTTTCTTGAAAGCCAAAATAGTTGTGATTAGTAATTATAATTTGTTAGTTTCCCTGCATTGGGTAAATATTTTTCTTCGATGATATGGCATATTTGTTGACGGTATTGCATCTGCCTCTATTCCATAATGCTTCTCCTCTATTACCGTTGGACAATCCTTGCTTAGGTTGAGGCATTGGATGGCCTTGGTCAAATGGCGAGGTTGAGGTCTGGGAGGATATAGTATCATCTGACATATGTTGAACCTCAAGGCTTTATTTATTTTTATTTTATGCCTTTCTGTGTCAGGGACATGGTGTTTGATTTCAATGCAGTTATGCTTTTAAGCAATTGGTATGGTTTTATCTTTCTTACCACAAATGACAAAGCAGACTGGAAGCCATAATATCCATAAAATTAGTGATAGGTTCCACTGCCCTGCTTGTTCCAGCACTGTGGTAGTTACACTACCATCTAAATTGGGTGAATTCAACTTGACAGAAAGCATTCCTGAATTGGTAGGATTGTAATGCTCTGTTTGGACTGTTCTGATTTATCAAGGGAAAATAAAATGAATGGGGAATGAAGAAATAAGTTTAGCTTCTTTCACCTCATTTTCTTCTCATATTTTCCCTTTTGGTTTCCATTCTCTACACAAATCCAAATAATCCAAACATAGCCCAAATGAAGTTTCCTTGATGGTTGAGTTGGCATCAGTGTCTTAATATGATTGTCTTGCCTTAAAAGAATATCATAAACACCTAATGAATACCTGATTTCTTTGAACATAGGGGCTTTAAACACACTTCAACTGGTGCACCGGTGGTGCCCATGATGAAAGATGATTTTGTTTCCCCATTGAAGTTGATTTTTTCCCCCCTTCCTAATACCATGCAAATATTAACTTAAAAAGGGTGAGGATCTTGGGAAAAGGGTATGGTGAAGCAAATCTAGCTTTAACTGAAATTCATTCAAAGATTTAGTATGTCAATGTGTGCCAGTTCAGAATGCTAAATAGTTCAAGCAGATAAACTAGCACTAGCTGCAGCTCAACAGGAGAAAAGATATTGCAGCAGTCCCAGAACAGAGTACTACTGTGACGTGCACGTGGTCCTCCTGACTTATGAGGTTGTGCAAAAGGGGATGGATAGGGTTGCACAAAACGTGATAAATAGGGCCGATCTTATCTCTCACCCAGTCAACCAAAATGGGTGAAGTCAATTTCACTCACCCTGGTACTACTGATTCAGTCCTCCTACTTCCAGTTTGCTAGACCAACAACGTCTAGTTTCAGAGCACTGCAGTAGCATGTGCATGTGGTGCTCCGGACTAGCAAGACTGCACAAAAACGAATAGATGGGGCTGAGCTTGTCTCTCGCCCAATCGACCAAAGTAGGTCAAGCTGGCTCCACCTATCTCATAATCATTGCTTTTATTGGTTTGGAAGCACCATGTCATCATTCTTCCACAGCCAATTCCCCATGCTGTTTGACCAACAAATGTTTAATTTCATGAGAGGCTGTTTTTTCAGACCATTGTGATGTTAGCATTACTTCGATTCTCATTACTTTTAAAAAAATGCGAGGAAAAGAATAAAATAAAATAAAATTCGTGAGATGCTCATGATCATCCTCATTGATTTTCTTTTTGACTAGCTCTTCTTCAAACCAAATCCAAAAGGGGAATGGACCAAGAGAAGAGCATATGAGATAGGAGGTGACAAATCTAATGTCCCTTTCAGGCATGTGGGGAGTGAGAGGAGGCATGGGCTGTTCCTGTATGTCTCCTTTTGCCTTGCAACATTGGGCCTACATATCTTTGTAATCTTAGTTTGGATTTCATTCTCATCAACCCCTCTCTCTCTCTTTCTCTCTAGGCTTAGACTCCCCAACTGCATTAATACTCTGTTTCTCTTCTTTGTTATACAAAGCTTTGGTCAATTCACATCCATTGAAGAATATGTGGAGGTGCACATGTGATCGTAAAGGTCTCTGTCTCAATTTTTCTCGAACAGAATTCAGTACATAATGGACAAATCCAATCCAAGTTTGGATTTAGTAAGGCAACAAAATTGAATTCGAAGTTCAGTTGGCAAAGAAACAAAGTATAGCTTCCTCTCCTCCACAGAAAATAAATAAATAAATAAATAAAGCGATTCAATTCAAGGCTTTCGATAAAACAGAGTCTGAAAAAGGACAAGATATGTCATTTTTAGATAGGCTATTTTTGTGACTCCAATTTGTGCCACCAGAACACTACCGACAAGCCTTACTATCAAGGCAGATCACTCTTAATAAAAAACAAAAAAAGAAGAAGAGTGAATCAATAACAAAGAACAATGATTAAACATGAAGTAAATCAAACACATTCATGTATCTAAAGACTGTACAAGAAACCCCAAGAACATTATCCAAAACCCAAGAATAGCACCACCCTAAGCTCTCCTCCTCTCATTTCCCACAACAACACTACTTTTTTTTAACCTCGGGAAATAAAAGAAATGCAATCAGTAATACATTAGAAGAGGGGGGAAAAAAAAATCAGCTTTGATTTGAGGACTGCTTTATTAGAGGCTGTGAAGTTTTTCCCCATTCTTCAGGTGGGCTTTTAACTTCCATCAACAGTGCCACCACTTCCTTCATGGTGGGCCGTTCAGCCGGTGACGAATTGACACAAAACATCGCGATTCCAAGTGTTTGAAGCATTTCTTGCACCATCTGATCAGGTAGGCCTTGGAGCTTCGAATCAAGTATAGTAACGGCCGGTTCAAAGCTTCCCATCTTCTTCTTCACCCACTCGACGATGTGAAGTCCACCGCCAACTTGGGGCTCAACCGCGCTACGCCCACTTAAGATCTCCAACAGAACCACTCCATAACTGTAGACGTCACTCTTCTCTGTTATGTTCATGGTGTATCCATATTCTGCAACAATTAATATAAAAATTTTAGCTATAGAATGTGAGACAACTAATAACGTTAAGAGGGGTTGAACAAGGCAATTTTACTTCAGCATGATAGAGAAAAGCACTCAATATTCAACAAAGAAGAAAGTGCTTTAGGATTAGGACTTATCTCACCAAATCAATCATAGATAACTTGAAAGAACAAGTGAATTTTTGCAGATTATACATGGCAACTAAGCTAAAATTTTTGCATATTCAACACTTTAAAAAGTTCCAAGAGCACTTGCCTGGGGCAATATATCCGTAAGACCCGGCTATTCTCGACATAGCATGGTGGTAATTTGGAGAGTTCATCAGCTTTGCGAGTCCAAAATCAGCCAAATAGGCCTCAAACTTCGAATCCAGTAGTATGTTATTGCACTTCACATCTCTGTGGAGGATTGCAGGAACACAATCATGGTGAAGATAAGCAAGACCCTGAGCCGAGCCGACTGCAATCTTATACCGGGTTTCCCAATCCAAGTTCCGATTACCTTGCAAGAGCTGTTGCAGATTTCCATTGGAGATGTAGTTGTAGAGGAGGAGTTTCACACTCTTATTAGAGCAGTATCCTAAGAACTTCACTATGTTCCGGTGTCGTATGTGTCCAAGAATCTGAATTTCAGAGGCAAAAGAGTCCACCGCCTCTTCGTTTTGCTTTGTTTTCCATAGCTTTTTCACAGCAATCAGCTCACCATTGGGCATTTCGGCCATGTAAACCACCCCAGAACATCCTTTTCCAATCACATTCTCGTCTTTTAGGCAATCCAATATGTTGTTGATTGTGAAATTGAGTTTCTGAAAGGGAATGAAAGTCCATGGGTTAGAAAAATCATCGGCCCCTGCTGACGTGGCAGCAGCATTACCGTCGGATGATTTTCCTGTTATAAACTTGTGGTTTCGTGTCACAACAATCCAGGATGCAACAATTACCATGGTCAAAGAGGCTAGAATTACTGCTACCAAAGCAATAGTTTTGGCTGATTTCAATCCATTTCTTCGCTGTAGCCGGGAAGAACAAGTAGAACCATCAATGGATTCACAAAGCTTTGGGTTCTCAAGAAATGAATTTGAAGACAGAGTCCTGAAAAAAGGTGTCACAGGAATAGGACCCGAGAAATTATTGCAGGAAATATTCAAGGAAGTGAGACTAGTAAGAAAACCCAGAATTGTAATCTTTCCATAAAGCATGTTATGTGAAAGATCAAGTGATTGTAACTGTGTCAAACCAGACATTGTTTCTGGAATTTCGCCAGTGAAACTATTCGAACTCAAGTCTAAGCTAATGGTTAAGCTTGTGACATAGCCAATCTCAGGTGGGATTGACCCAGAAAGACTGTTGAAGCTCAAGTCAAGAAGAGTTAGTTTCTGCAAGTTTCGAATTGATTTTGGGATTGACCCTGTAAGCAAATTATTGTTGAGGATGAGTTTGTTCAAGTAACTAAAATTACCAAAACTCCATGGGATTTCGCCAGTGAAGCTGTTTCGGCTGAGATCAAGCTGTTCTAAGTTCACAAGCTCGCCTAGCTGACCTGGTATCACCCCGGTTAAGTAATTGTTGTGCACATCCAAGAGCTCAAGAACTGTTATATTAGCTATCTGAGAAGGCAAGCCACCAGAGAAATGGTTCATGTACAAATCAAGAAACACAAGGTTCTGCAATTGCCCAATCTCCTCTGGAATCTGACCTGAAAGTTGGTTTTCACCGAGTCTCAATCTGACTAAAGATTGGCACTCAGAGACACTTCTTGGCAACACTCCTGACAATGAATTCCCCAAAAGAAGCAATTTGCTCAGCTTCTTTAGGCCAAAGATCTCTTCTGGTATTGGGCCGGTAAGCTTGTTTCGCGAAAGGTCGAGTGCGTAGAGCTCAGTGCAGTTCCCGAATGAGGATGGTATGGTACCAGAAACCGAATTGCCCCACAGGAAAAAACTCTGCAAGAACTTCAAATTCCCAATTTGCCATGGAATTGGGCCTGAAAACTGGTTTTTGTCAAGCTGAAGAGCTGTGAGACTGGAACAGTTACTCAATTGCCATGGAATTAGACCTGTGAGCGAATTATCGGACAAATGAAGCTGTTCAAGAACTACAAGCTTCTCCAAATCACCCGGTATTTCACCGGTCAAATCATTGGCAGAGGTGTCAAGGACAACGAGCGACGAGCAATTAGAGAGCTCAGCTGGGATTGTTCCGGTGAGTGAATTGCCCCACAAAAGCAAGCTAGTAAGTTTTTGCAACTTACCCAGTTGAGGAGGGATTGAACCAGTGAGTTTGTTCATGTGGAGATACAAATTTCTCAACTCCGAGCACAACCCCAGTTCTGGTGGGATTGAACCAAACACATCAGTGTCATAAAGTGCCAGTGTTTGGAGATTGATTAAATTCCCAAATGTGGGTGGTATAACACCGGATAACCCGGTCGCCGCAACCCCAAATGTGGTGAGATTGGTGAGAAGTCCCAACTGGGTTGGAATTTCACCAGTCAGATAAGGATTACCCCCAACTCTGAACTGTTGGAGAGACACCAACGAGCCTAATTGCCATGGAATTGAGCTATTGAGCAAATTATCTTGCAAGCACAGGACTTGAAGTGAAGAGAGATTGGCAAGCTGTTCTGGGATTCGACCCGACAACCGATTCGAATTCAAGAAAAGGAATTGAAGAAAACTGAGGCGGCCGAGCTCGGGAGGAATGGGTCCGGAGAGAGAATTGGAAGAGAGGTCTAGGAGGCGGAGATGGGAGAGAGAGCCAAAGGAAGGTGGGATTGAGCCAGAGATGTTAGTGGAGGAGAGATTGAGGAGTTGGAGGTAGGAGAGAGAGGAGAGTTTTGGAGAGAGTGAAGAGACGTTGAGGAATGTGTTTGGGAGAGAGAGTGAGATAACCCTGTCCTGTGGTGAACAAGTGATGCCTTGCCATGAACATGGTGTTGGGCTTGATGGGTTCCAAGAGGAGAGAACAGAGGAGGATGATTTGGAATATGGGTCAGAGGCAGAGAGGAGAGAGAGAAGGGCTTCTCCATCAGGAGAGAGAGAGGTCACCACCACTAGTGTTCTTGTCAGGCTTAACCAACATAAGAAGAAGAAGAAGAAAGGGAAGAGAGAAGAGAAAGCAAGATGGGTTGGTGTTTCCATATGGGCTTAGAAAGTGGATAGGCTTGATGGAGTTTTTGAGCTTTGGTGGTGGTGGTGAGAGTGAAATCTAGGGGACAACATGCATGTGAGAAAGGATTGTGTGGTGGTGGGGAAGCTTTAAACTCACACTATTATGTAGTGTTGTTCAAAAAACCGATGCATGTGAACAAAAAGTCAGTGTTGATGTTGTGTATCTTTTGTGGAAGAAGACTAATATGTTGTTGAGTGAGTGTTAACTCTCTTACCGGAAATGAGGCTTGTACATCCGGCTCCGCCGGACACGGCGGTGGTACTGGTGGTGGTGGTGGTTAAGATGGGCAACTTAGAACCAAGCTCTTCGTGTAGAGGTTACTCCATTGAAGGTGGACATTGTGGGTTGTGTTCATCATCAGTGGTTTTATTAGGGTTTGAGAGGTGGTGGTGGTTGTGGTGGCGGTGGTGGCGGAGCTTCGAGTTATATATATAAGTTCTCTCTCCTTCTCTCTCTGATGTTTACTGAGAAAGTCTAAGCACTTCAAACATTGCATGAGTCCTTTGCATACCTCAGTTTTATTTTAATGCAGTGATTTCGGCGCCACTGATGAAATCCCAATACTGCCCTTTAAATAGATAGAACCACTATTATTTTCGAGCAATATTACGTATTTTTTATATATGTTTTTTAAATTACAACAAAAAATAAAGGGGTTAGCTTGTTTGTGGATTAGATCATATTGGTTAGGTTTGCGAGACTTATCATTAGTTTTATTTTAATAATTTGAGTCATTTATTTATAAGTCACAATTTATAAATTATTCATTAAAAAAAAAATTAAATCGAATCCAATAACGCACTACAACATATAAGAGTTTTAGAGATCAAATTTTTTAATCTCTAAAAATAAAAATTTTATTGTAAAAGACATTTATGGACCAATTTCTATCATCGTGAGAATAGTCGCTAAAAGATCATATCGAAAAGTAAAAAACAAGACTTTTAGCAACAAAATTTAAAAAATGTCATTAATAAATAGACTTTTAGAAACAAAATAATTTGATTTCAAAATGGTTTATTTTTTGAGATAAAAAATTTGATCCTAAAATGATAATAATTCATCACTAATGCTCAATTTTCGTTGCTAAAAATATAATGACGACACTTTTCGCAACACAAATATTTGATTTCATTATGACATTTAAAAAAATAAAAAACAATTTTTTTTTTAAAACCTAGACCACTAGATTATCCTTTTTATTTTTTACAAATAAATGTTATAAACTAAAGTGCCTACTCTTATCCGATCGAATATATTTTTTGTATAGATGATTTACCCTTTTGGTCTAGAATATGAACAGATTAGGTTATCGAAGTAGAAACGTAGTAGGTCCTATGGACCAAAACAACACGATAATAGATTAGAGACAAGCTAAGTCAAAAAATGAAATATGTTGATCAAATTTTGTCTAGGCGTGGCTTTGGATTTACACTATATACTTTTTTTTTTTTGGATAAATAATGTAAATGGTCTTTATAGTTTACACGATGTGTCAATTTAGTCATTGTTATTTTAATTTGTTTGATTTTGTCTCTTAATTTAACGAATTGTGTCATATTAGTCCAATAAATAACAGCTGTTAGGTTTGGTTGACGGAAAATTGTCACGTGCTCAAACGATATGTTATTTGGTTGTTATAGTTTACACGATGTATTAATTTGGTCCCGGTTGTTTTAATTTACTCGATTTTGACAAGGATCAAATTGACATATTGTGTAAACTACAAAGACTCAATTGACACATCGTTTGATTTTCTGTCTACCAAACCTAACCGTAATTATTTTTTGGACTAATGTGACACAATTCGTTAAACTATAGGGAAAAATTGAACAAATTAAAATAAAATTGTCACGTGCTCAAACGATATGTTATTTGGTTGTTATAGTTTACACGATGTATTAATTTGGTCCCGGTTGTTTTAATTTACTCGATTTTGACAAGGATCAAATTGACATATTGTGTAAACTACAAAGACTCAATTGACACATCGTTTGATTTTCTATCTACCAAACCTAACCGTAATTATTTTTTGGACTAATGTGACACAATTCGTTAAATTAATGAGTAAAATTGAACAAATTAAAATAACAGTGACCAAATTAACATATCATGTAAACTATAGGGATTATTTACATAATTTACTTTTTTTTTTTTGAATAATTTTATCTGAGTGTATAGTATTTTAATTATTTTTAAACACTTTAATAAATTTGCATTTTGAAAATTTCGACTTAGCTATTACTTAAAATTTTTAAAAAATATATTAAACTAAGTTTATGGTTTCAATTAAAAGACTTAATATATTACTCAATGATGAATAGTGTTATTACAAGATAGTTTTGAATTTTAATCTTAATTAAAAAAAAAATTATGAAAAAATTTTCTTTTACAAATTTAATGCCGAAATTTTTTAAGAGACTAACTTAGAATTTTAATTTTCTCAATTTTGTCTTCGTTCCACATGGGGCTAAAATGAGGTTATGGGCTAAAAAAATTATAAAAAAGACAAAATAAATTAAAAAGCTAATAATAAAAAATTTAAACCATAATTATTTTATTTTTTCTCTTACAAAAGTCAAAAATTTCGTACATAAACGAAATTTTTAACCACAGATTAAAATAACTAAAAACTCAAAAAAACAATTCACTTCCCAAACGAAACCTTCATAAAATAAATTTTAGAAAAATGCTATACGTTCCAAATTTTTTACTAAATAAATGACCAATCTCTATGAGACATTTAATTATTTATTTGATAAAAAATTTAATATCCCTAACCTAACCTCAAATTTTAAGTCCTTATGTTTTATAGGGACCACAGTCCTTTTGGCAAGAAAAAATACATTTATTTTGTTTGAGTTGTCCTTTTGTTAGGCATCAACGGTGCTGCTCTCATCGCTTCTTTTGAAGTAGTTGATGCTCTATTCAACGGTGAAGATCAATGTTTCAAACTAGTCCTGCTCTTTCATTCTTATATCATGCTCTTAAGCTGTAATTAGTGTTGTAAAATAAATTATGTTCCTAGAACTTAAACTCGTCATTGGTTCAATCAAAATTGATTCATTATATAAATAATTTAATTTTAAATTTGATAACTTTGTAAGTTTTTAATAAATTTGTATTAAAAAAAATTAAAGGTTATATGAGTTAATCTTGTGATCAATGCAATTAAAATTCAATTTATAATTGAATCGAAAGATAAATAATTAAAATTTTAAATCAAACTTAAATAACACATTACACGATTTAATTAGTTTATAATTCAAAATATTTTTGTGACAAAATATTAAATTACTAAAACACTCTTCTTACTTCTTGTCATCATGCCTTGCAAATAGACATTACACAAATCAACTCAACAATATTCGTAATTTCATCATGTGGGTCAGATTTTCCGGCAAGTGGGCAAGACAAGAATTTCACACTCCATTGAGGTGGTAGGGAGAGAGAGAGAGAGAGAGAGAGAGAGAGGAGCTGGCACAGTGCCTAGGGAAGAGGAGAGAGAGAGAAAGACTTGATGATATAGGAGTGAGGCAGCTTAGGAGATTGTGAAAGGTAAAGAGAGGGGTTGGATTAAGCACCAATTCAATGTCTTTTTCTTTACTTATATATATACAATGCAATGCAAGTCATGTCTGTGACTTAAACTAATGAGGCCTCAAACGTGGTCTGTGACATAAAATATGTAGCTAGGGTTTAAGGATGGGCGTGCAAATAGAGGAAGTTTAATTGGAGCATCTAATAGTTTTTAGGAGGGTAAAGTTGGTAAAAAAAAATTATTTTACAGTGTTAGGGTAAAAATAATTTAAGATAGGGTGATTTGGTTATCGAGGAAGGAGTAGTGGGCTTGCTTTGGGAGTAGGGCTAAAGAAAAATCCAGTGTCACATGAGAGAGAGAGGAGAGAGTATATTAGGGCACATGTAACGATTAGGGTTTTATTAAGGTTTTAGTTTTGACTGTGTTTGAAGATCAATGTTTCAAACTAGTCCTGAAGATCAATGTTTCAAACTAGTCCTGCTCTTTCATTCTTATATCATGCTCTTAAGTTGTAATTAGTGTTGTAAAATAAATTATGTTAAACTCGTCATTGGTTCAATCAAAATTGATTCATTATATAAATAATTTAATTTTAAATTTGATAACTTTGTAAGTTTTTAATAAATCTGTATTAGAAAAAATTAAAGGTTATATGAGATAATCTTGTGATCAATGTAATTAAAATTCAATTTATAATTGAGTCGAAAGATAAATAATTAAAATTTTAAATCAAACTTAAATAACACATTACACGATTTAATTAGTTTATAATTCAAAATATTTTTTTGACAAAATATTAAATTACTAAAACACTCTTCTTACTTCTTGTCATCATGCCTTGCAAATAGACATTTCACAAATCAACTCAACAATATTAGTAAGTTCATCATGTGGGTCAGATTTTCCGGCAAGTGGGCAAGACAAGAATTTCACACTCCATTGAGGTGGTAGGGAGAGGAGAGAGAGAGAGAAGAGAGAGAGAGGAGCTGGCACAGTGCCTAGGGAAGAGGAGAGAGAGAGAAAGACTTGATGATATAGGAGTGAGGCAGCTTAGGAGATTGTGAAAGGTAAAGAGAGGGGTTGGATTAAGCACCAATTCAATGTCTTTTTCTTTACTTATATATATACAATGCAATGCAAGTCATGTCTGTGACTTAAACTAATGAGGCCTCAAACGTGGTCTGTGACATAAAATATGTAGCTAGGGTTTAAGGATGGGCGTGCAAATAGAGGAAGTTTAATTGGAGCATCTAATAGTTTTTAAGAGGGTAAAGTTGGTAAAAAAAAATTATTTTACAGTGTTAGGGTAAAAATAATTTAAGATAGGGTGATTTGGTTATCGAGGAAGGAGTAGTGGGCTTGCTTTGGGAGTAGGGCTAAAGAAAAATCCAGTGTCACATGAGAGAGAGAGAGAGGAGAGAGTATATTAGGGCACATGTAACGATTAGGGTTTTATTAAGGTTTTAGTTTTGACTGTGTTCTCTTATTCAGCCACACGAGACATGTCATTCATTAATGTTCTTGAATTGTATAAAATGACCTCATTTGGGAGTTCAGAAGTGTAGTTTTCGTGCTATTGGCTGTTTTTTATTTTTTTATTTTTGGGTATCTGAATGACTATTAGCATTTAACACCATTGTGGGTGTTTTTGAATGCTAGGACAGTGAAATTGTATTTAGAAAAAAACTTGAGACCCTCAATTTGAAGACTCTCATGGTTTTCAAATGTGTGATTGATTTATGTGTGTTTTTATTTTCTATTTATTTATTTTTCTTTAGAAAATGTTATAGACCTTAAATAATTTACTAAATTTTTTACTAAACCTCTCATATGGGTGTGAGACCCACACAAACCCACATAAGTGTGAAAGGTTTGGTAGATTATTTGGGATCCCTAGCATGGGTTGTAGGAGTAGAGTTTTTGTGGGGTCTCAATCATTACTCATTTATTTATTGCTAGCAACGTTACATCCATAATTTTTAC